CATTAAATAAAATAAAATATTAAAAAAACTGTGCATGAATTTTTCACCAAAATAAACTAATCTTTCAACTTCGTTTTCCATAAGCTTTTGAAGCACCCTTCTATAGAATCATTTCAGTTATCCAATGTAGTTGTTGAGAAAATTAAGAGCCATCTGATAATCCTTTAATATAAGAGTAAATAAATTATTATACAGTGTATATTCATAAAAGAAGTGAGGTATATCTGCATGTGTTCTTGTTAAGTTGAAAGAATTAAGGATAAAAGATCAATAAGGGCTCTCTCAGGGAGCATCTAGGCTACAATGAATAAGTGTCTATAATGGATAAAAGATTGGGAAATATCACATAAATAAGCTGAATCTGTGTTTCTCTTCTCAAGGCATTTTCATTCTCATGGAAAAATGGAGTCACCATACTGTATGATAGAATCTAGAAATAAGAGGACACAAGTAGTTCTGAGTAGCACAAAAGGAGGATGATACTGGCCAGAATCATTACAGACTCTCTTTCATTTCAATTATACTACCTACTTCTCAGACTATTCTCTTTCTAAGCACCCTGAGCTGGTCAACATTGAGCCAGCCCTCACAAAATCCCCCTCCTCTTCTGAAGTCAGAGGAATTAACCATATTGCAGAACATAGCCCCTGACTCCTTTGTGGACACCAAAGGGCCAGATAATGCATCTTGAAAATTCAACAAAGTATTCATGGGATAAACCTTTGCTGATGGGAAACAAGGATGAAAAAGTACAGAGCATATAAAAATATTGTCCTTTCTCCCACTTGTGAACTTCTCCAAAGTATGACTTCTCCAATGTGCTGAGTGAACGTATCTGATGAATCGTCTCCTCCGGCACCTAGGGGCTTACTTTGAGCAATGACTCTTGCAGTAATGCATTTCATAGCATTACTTGTATTTATCTTAGCCTCTGTTCCCTCCATCCTTCCTCCTAACCTCTCTATGACTCTTGCTTCCAAATAAACTATCAAGACCTAGACCCTTGGCTCAAGCTCTTCTTTCTAGAAAATCCTTGCTAAGACAGTAATAGGAACTTAGAAATATTCCTCACAGACAAGTTGCAGAAATCAGGATTCTGATAACAGCCCCCATTTCCTTGCTACTTGTGACAAGAGCTGGCAGCATAGATAAATAGATGAAAATAACTTTTATTTCTTCTCCATGACCCCATTATTTTAAACATTAGTCATGAATACAGTTAATCCATATTAAGTTGTGTTCTGTTCAGAAGGGGATTGGGGCAAGAAAAATTACATGACGTTATTAGGCACATGTAAGCCTTGGAAGAAGAATGTGTTCAATTCAGCTGTGTCTCTGGCTGTGTAGCTTCCCTGGCTCTGGTCCATCTTAGGGTCTACTTTTCTAGACTTGTTTGGTATTGTGAATCACTCAAGTATCATTTCATTTTATTTTATTATAAAGATCCAGTTTGTTATTTTTTAAATATATTTACCTTTCATTTTATTTAAAAGTCTGACTAGAAGAGAGAGAGAGAGATCTGACATATGCTGGTTCAATCCCTAATTGCCCATAAAAGCCAAAGCTGAACGAGGCCAAAGCTAGGAGCTTGGAACTCAATCTTGGTCTCCCTTGTGGGTGGCAGGGACCCAGCTAACTTTATTTTCTCCCTCTGTGCATAGTATCAGGAAACAGGAATCAGAAATGTAGCCGGGACTTGAGCTCAAGCATTTTGTAATGGGATGCAGTCATCCTATACAGTGCCTTAATCATTGGTCAACAGATTTTATTTCTTTATCTTGCATTAAGAGTCTTGGGTGCTGAATTACTGGGTCTCCAGATTCTCCCTCAATGCTGACATTAATTAAGTGATACAGAGGCCACAACCTATCCCCTGCCACTGGAAATGGCATTTTTTTAGAGTTATAATCACTAGTGGAGCAATATACCCCAATTCTCTCAGTGTTTACTAAGTTTTCTCATTTACCAGGCATTAGAGAAGAAACTTTGCAAATGCTTACCATCTCACTGGGGAAGCACAAACAATTGACTTGCAATGAAGAGTAATAATCAACCAACTTGCAAGCAGGAAATCATTGTAGGAGGAGCACCTGAGGACAGAACAAAGCAAGAATAAAACAATTCAATTCCTCATTACCTCATGGAGAATAGGATGTGAAAATTACTAATTACTGTTTGTCTTGAGAAAAGAACTCCAGGGATCTTGTCTCAAAGGACTGAGAGGAGATAAATGTCCCATGTGAGCCCAACACAAAGATTCTTAATTTGAGTATTTGGACAAAGAATCCTGCTTTTAGAAGTACATAAATGCTCTCAGTCTCCACCTACTAACCAGTTCAGCTACGAGGAAAGTCAGTGGGCCTATATACCTGAGACATTTTACCTTCATTCAAAGGTGAGCCTTTTTAGAATTCAGCACTGATCTTAACTAGCAAGGAAGCCACCTAAGGACTCAACAATTTGTGCAGGACTGATGGTAGATGAGAGAGCTAAAGCAGGAAAGTGAGATTAGAGATCATGATTCAAAACGTGCAATCAATTCCACTTTCTAGTCAAGCCTAAACCAGCCCAGGGCTTGGTAACACACAGGAGCCTCTAAATCACTCTGTTTCTTAGCTATTCATTCCTCACAATTCTTTTTCTCATTTTCATTTAGCCAGGGAATCTTCCTTCTGTCTGTATTTTGCCCTTTCTCTGATTTGTAAACCAAGCTTCTCAGGAACAAAGAGAACTCAGATTCTGCTCCAATGTCCACCGCTCTTCCACTTTCCAGAATCCCAGGAAAGGGGTTTTACTGTTTTCTGATCTCTTCATGAAAATAAAAAGCATGGAGAGACAATTGATTTGAAAAATAAATAAAAGAGAGGAAAAGAAAGTGGAAGGGAGACGCTGTTAGAATAGGAAAATGGGGACCAGCACCTCTCAACTGTCAGGCTGAAATTCCTTACAATAAATCACAAGGAACATCATGTCAGATCCAAGATTGCTTCCTTGGGCCAGCGCCACGGCTCACTAGGCTAATCCTCCGCCTTGCGGCGCCGGCACACCAGGTTCTAGTCCCGGTCGGGGTGCCAGATTCTGCCCCAGTTGCCCCTCTTCCAGGCCAGCTCTCTGCTGTGGCCCGGGAGTGCAGTGGAGGATGGCCCAAGTGCTTGGGCCCTGCACCCCATGGGAGACAAGGATAAATACCTGGCTCCTGCCATCAGATCAGTGCGGTGCGCCGGCCGCGGCGGCCATTGGAGGGTGAACCAACGGCAAAGGAAGACCTTTCTCTCTGTCTCTCTCTCACTGTCCACTCTGCCTGTCAAAAAGAAGAAGAAGATTTCTTCCTTGTTCCTAGGTGGCACTTTGTGAGGAAAACACTCCAAGGATATTCTTGCAGCTTTCTGATCCCCTATGATTCTATTTTGATATTGAAGACCCATCCCCAGGTATTAAAAAACCACACCCAGCCCAACTTAAAATTTTAATTTCACATCACATTCAAAGCGTGTGTCCCAGTTTGGGACTCAGATCTGATATGTAGTTTGGGAAGGTTTAACAGCAAGGAATGGGCATCTGTTTTTCTCTGTTCTTTAATCTCTCCTAACCTGATCACATTGCAGTTGATGTTGTTGTTGTTGTTGTTGTTGCTGTTGTCTTCATCTTGGTTTTTTTAGCCTTACAGGTGCATGGAAGAATCATGGAAGTGTTGCAAAAAGGCAATAGCGTTCTAATATGTTACCATAGAATACCAAAAGTTGTTATCTTATGTGTGGCAGTCATGCTTTTGTGTCCATAGTAATAATTTCATTCATTATGAGGTTCCCTGATAAGAACAATGGATTTTGTCCCTTACGTCTTTAAAACATCTGTGTCATTAAAGAGCTACCACGTAATCTGTTACTATTATATCCAACTCTATCCCAGAAGGTTGTTCCTTGATTGGAGTTCAACATGGTGGCTAGAGTCTTGCAGCATTCACTTGGCCTATAGGAAATCCATATGTTTATGGTATACTATGGCTGAGAATGCAGGATTCCCCTACTAACTACCATCTTTTCCCACATCCCTGTCATAATGAGTTATTTCAGTAAGCCTCCAGCTTTTGAAGCAACACCTTAAATTTTCTTGGTTCACCTTTAACTGGCCACCAATTAAATATAATTCTGATGATCCCTGCTTGTACCCACTCTCCAAAGGCAACTCCAGGAGTTCTCCCCTAACTTCAGTAAGAAGGAGCATTCACACAATAGTACACTTTCTTAGTATTCCTAACTGCCCATTGTTTCTACTGCCCCAACTCTTCATTTTAATGATACTTCACATTTTCACCTTCTTAGTCTTAAAGGGTAAAAGTGAATGGTGGCCGGCACCGTGGCTCAATAGGCTAATCCTCTGCCTTGCAGCACCGGTACACCGGGTTCTAGTCCCAGTCGGGGCTCCGGATTCTGTCCCGGTTGCCCCTCTTCCAGGCCAGCTCTCTGCTGTGGCCCGGGAGTGCAGTGGAGGATGGCCCAAGTACTTTGGCCCTGCACCCGCATAGGAGACCAGGATAAGCACCTGGCTCCTGGCTTCGGATCAGCGCAATGCGCCGGCCGCAGCACGCCGGCTGCAGCGGCCATTGGAGGGTGAACCAACGGGAAAAGGAAGACCTTTCTCTCTGTCTCTCTCTCTCACTGTCCACTCTGCCTGTCAAAAATTTTTTAAAAAAAGTGAATGGTGATGAAAATCTTAGGACCAGTTTATTTAACTCACTCCAATGGGCATTATGAACACATTTAGAATGTGAGGTACACGTTCTCTATGATCCTCAACTTGGGGGATTTAAACTAATCTTTGAAGCAACTGAAAAATCACATTCAAAAGTATCTACCATGTCCCTGACTTTTCATTACTTGTAATGAAAAGACTCATTTCCTGAGTCTCTTCACTGCTGAGGTACATCCTTATTAAGTAGCACTTTGACTCAATAAAAAGAATGAAATTTATTCCGTTTCAGCCTACAGGAAGTGGCTGCAGCTAAAGTGGTACCATATTGGATTTTCTTTGGATAGTATGAGGATACTGTATTCGTTTCTTCAGATCAGCAGAAATATGCATCAGAGAAACCAAACCACCATCTCTGAGTTCATCCTCCTGGGTCTCTCCAGCCAGACTGAGCAGCAGAAACTTCTCTTTGCGTTTTTCCTGAGTATGTACCTAGTCACCGTGGTTGGGAATGGACTCATCATTCTGGCCATCAGCTTGGATTCTAACCTTCATACTCCCATGTATCTCTTCCTTGCCAACCTATCCTTTGCTGATATGTTCTCCATTTCTACCTCAGTCCCCAAAATGCTGTTGAATATCCAAACCAAGAGTCAGTCCATCTCCTACAAGAACTGCATCACACAGATGTACTTCTCTATTGTGTTTGTTGTCATTGACAATTTCCTCTTGGGGGTCATGGCCTATGATCGCTTTGTGGCGATCTGCCACCCTCTGAACTATACATCCATCATGCATCCTAAGCTCTGCATTTTACTCACAGTCATTCCATGGGTCCTCAGTAATATTGTTGCCCTGACACACACCCTTCTGCTCACTCTGCTGCTCTTCTGTGACAACAACATTCTCCCACACTTCTTCTGTGACTTGGCTGCTCTGCTAAGACTGTCCTGCTCAGATACAATGATCAATGAGCTTGTGATGTTTGTTGTGGGCTTATCAGTTATCACCTTCCCCTTTGCCCTCATCCTCTTCTCCTATATCTGCATCATCAGAGATGTCCTGAGAATCTCATCCACCGAGGGAAAGTGGAAAGCCTTCTCCACCTGCAGCTCTCACCTGACAGTTGTATTACTCTTCTACGGGACCATTGTGGGAGTGTACTTCTTCCCCTCATCAGCTCACCCTGAAGACACAGAAAAGATTGGTGCAGTGCTTTTCACGGTAGTGACACCTATGATGAACCCCTTCATCTATAGCCTGAGGAACAAAGATATGAAAGGTGCTCTGAGAAAGCTCCGCGATAGGAAAATATTTCTTCGGTTGATGCCCCCGGGCATCTGAGCTCCTTTCATCCTCTTAATGAAATGAGTGACTTCATACAGACTTTGTGGCATAGTCCTGATTGCTCAGCCTGCTTTTGATGAACTGTTGGATATCTACCTTCTATTTCAACCTCTGAGAGACTGGCGATTTTCCACATGGGTCTAGTCTTGGAAACAAGACCTCTAACTCCCATGGTAAGCCACAGCAGTAACACACATCTTAATTACAACCTATATTGCTGTAAATGTTGATGATAAATATTTATAACTTAGACAATAACAGGTGCATGTAATACCTACAGCCTAGCTTTTATGGCTCTGAATACAATTGCCATTTCTTTATTCAATCTCTATTTTCTAGGTCGGATTTTCTCAGTTTGTTTGGTGAAGATATTATTTTGGTGCAGTATTTAATAGTAGCAAACGTGAAAGTACCCACGTTCAAATAATTTAAAGCAACTCTCAGTTAAATGAAGAAAATATATTAACCAGACAACTTCTCAGAATTTTAGTGTAGTGTAAATCTCCCACAGGGTAATACAGTATGCAGAATTTCTCAAAATTGAACTATTCAGTCATACAGAAACTCATTGATCACCTAGTAGTTCATGGGACTGGCATTGTATGAAATACATTTTGGGAAACATGACTCCAGGTGACTTCAATTATTTCAATGTAAAGCCACAAAACCTGTGTAATGGAAGATACCAGTTATAGTCCTCACTCTGTCCCCAGGTAGCTATGAAGACTTTAAGTAGGTCAGCTCACTTTCCTGGGCCTATTTTCTCACCTATAGAATAAGACCATGGTTCTCATTTTTGACAATTTGTTTCCAATTAGTGTGTATAACAGAATCCACTGGGAGAACTTTGTCAAAATTCACATCCACAGACCACGTAATGCCTTCTTTGTTTGACCAGTTTTAATTGTCAAAAATTCAGATTAGCAATCAATTTCATTAAATGCATCCAGAATGAATTTTACTGAGGTTTAAGAAAAGATACAGAAAGCCACAACACATGCCACAGCAATAATACAGTGGCTGTCTGGTGACTCTCAGGTGTGCCTTTTAAACATTCCAGTCATTCTACACTTGAGATGTGCAAGGTCAAGAGAGAGTGCTGCGAGGATACAGACCACTTCAGTTCAGGGAAACTACAGCTCTGGGGTTCCTTAGGCATTGTGCTTTGCTAATTGCATAGCCCTCTAAGGAAGGTAATTAACACCCATTTGCTGGTGGGACTACATCTCATGAAATATAGGTTACTTATTGGTTATGGAGACAGCTGCCAGGGGCATTTGGTCAAGAGTCAAACCCTCAGACTTCCCTGAGGCTTAACAGAGACTTTATATCAGGCTTTACAACTTTCTTCCAAAACCCCTTTCTGACTCTGACCCAGCCTCCAGTGAACGAATCAGGCACTAGTATTTTGAAAACACTACTCAGTGGGTGAACAGTTGGCCTGGTGGTTAAGTTCCAGTTAGGATGTCTGCCTCCCACATTGGAATGCCTGGGTTCAACTCCTAGCTCTATGTCCGGATTCCAGCTTCCACTGATACAGGCCCTGGGAGCGAATAGTCTGGACTCATGTAATTGAGTTCCTGTCACCCACACAGGAAACCTGGACTGAGTTCCTCACTCTCAGCTTCACCCAGCCCAGCCCTGGCTGTTGCAGGCACTCAGGAAGTGAGTTAGTGGGCAGTAAAACCTATATCTATCTGATCGTCTGCCTGTCTGTCTCTATCTTTGTCCCTCTGCCTCTCAAATAAGTAAATAATTTTTAAAAAATAAAACACTCCTTAGATGACCCTAATATGGTAACAAATCAGTGAACTATGTGAGTTCTGACTTCCACTCCAGCAGTGGGATTTTGTGAATCTATGTACTGTCTGGTTAGTGAAAAAGTCTTTCAGATCTGTCTTTAAATTACTCTCTAGCAAGGCCAGCATTGTGGCACAGTGGGACCTGAATGGAGTTCCTGGCTCCTAGCTTTGGCCTGGCTCTTGTGGCCATTTTGCCCCTCTTCCAGGCCAGCTCTCTGCTGTGGCCCTGGAGTGCAGTGGAGGATGGCCCAGGTCCTTGGGTCCTGCACCCCATGGAAGACCAGGAGAAGCACCTGGCTCCTGGCTTCGGATCAGCGCAGTGCGCCGGCCACAGCGCGCCAGCCGCAGCGGCCATTGAGGGGTGAACCAACGGAAAAGGAAGACCTTTCTCTCTGTCTCTCTCTCACTGTCCACTCTGCCTGTCAAAAAAAAAAAAAAAAAAGTGAACCAGTGGAGGAAGATATTCTCTCTCTCTCTCTCTGCCTTTCAAATAAATAAAATAAATCTTAAAAAATTAAAATAATAAAATACTCTATAGCTGCTCAAGAGAGGGTGATATTTCCCTGTCCAAATTATCTTTTGAATTATTTCCATCTCTGGAGCAAACTATCACTGGCAAGCTATTTTATCAAGTTTCCCTAATAGTTGTAGTATTGTATAGAGAAAAGATTTGGTCCTAAAACCTGGCTTTTCAGAAGGTAGTGAACCATCTATCTGATCTAACATAAGTTGTTTAAAAATTGGAACTCATTTTCCTCATCTGTAAATGGAAATAATAATCCTAACATCCTAACATCCCAAAGCTATTTGTGTCTAAATGAGCATGTGTATTAAACAACTGTCCTAGTGTCAACTATGTAATACATATACAAAACTAAATATTCCTTATTTTTTAGCTGTCACCCTCCCTGCATTCCAACTCCAATATACTTGCCCCAGCAAACTAGATTCATTTGTCTCCAATATATGCTAATTTCTATTCTTCTTTAAACTTACAATCACCTTCTCTGTTTACAAGGAAATACATAATCAGCCACCTGCTCTTCTCAATGGTATCTGAAACTTTTAAATCTCATTTGAGTTTTTATTCATTTTGTAAAATTCATCTGCTTTTGAATGAGCTCTCAATCTAGCCACTTAACAGTCATACCTTCTTCAAGTAGCTCAGCCCACCCTATTCTACAGACAGCAGCAGCAAAGAACATCACGGAGCTCTGCTTTCCTAGTCCACATAAAGTCACAGAGAGCGTCCTGGATTACTAATTAACAGGCATGACTCTTTTTACATTATTGATTGAATAAAAATGGATTTTTAATGAAATTTTAGGATTACCAAGTTTTTTAAAAGTCATAAGCAGAAAAACAAGAATATAAAGTGGATTTCTGATTATTCTCCATCAAAGTTCTCACAAAAATTGTCAGTCTGATGAGAAAAATTAACAGGAACATTGTTGTGGTGGAGAAAGGCTCTCCGGTGAAGCTTTCTCAGGCATTTTTCTGCTAGTTTTCATTAACTTTCTCAACACTCTCATAACAAACAGACATTATTCTTCTTTGGTCCTCCAGAAAGTCAAGCAGAATGCTTTAATCACTCCAAAAAACTGTGGCCATGACCTTTGCTCTTGATCAGGCACATTTTTTAATTTTAACATTTTTTGCATAAGGTGAATAAATTTCATTTATTTCATAAACACAGATTTAGAAGCATAGTGATACTTTCCAGCCTACTCTCCTCCCTGTCCACACTCTCTCCTTCTTCCTCTTTCACTGAACCGTTTCCACCTCTTGGTAGCCATTTCTTTGGTTGTGTTTTGTCTTCAGGACCATAATGTTCAATCCATATTTTGCTTCCTATTATAATTCCTCCAAGAAATGCTCAGGATCTTGATCCCACTTGTTTAAAATTCCCATGTAAACTTCTGTCTGGAGCCAATCTTTATGCACAACTTTTGGCACCCATTACCCAGGAAGTTTGCTCCACTTTAATTTTGCAGTCGTAATTGTGTGTGCTGAACTAATTGAGATGTCTATGGTGTTGGCTGCCATCCTCTTCAACCATGGCATCAGCAAGATTAATTTATTCTTTTCAAGTTGATATGGATGGTCTGCTACTGTGGGCTTCGTTTTCTACATCATCTTGTCCCTTCTTTAAATAAATCTTCCATGTAAAAATAGTAATAAACAAAAAATGAAAAGTCATCCATTTGTAATCTGCTGATTTCTGTGAGTCATCAGGAGACTTGGAGACATAATCCCAAGAAAGGAAGAGAGGATCTAAATTTCCTAATTGGGGGTGGGGGGGGGGCTGGTGATGTAGGGTAGCAGGTTAAGCTATACTGTTTAGGTGTTTGAGTCCTAGCTGCTCCACTTCCAAACCGGCTCCTTGCTAATGCACCTGGGAAAGCAGCAGAATGTGGTCCAAGGATGTAGACTCCTGTACCCACGTGTGAGACCCACATGAAGCTCCTGGCTCCTGGCTTAGGCCTGACCCAGCCTGACCATTGTGGGCATTTGGGCAGTGAACCAAGAGATGGAAGATATCTCTGTGTGTATGTGTGTGTGTGTGTGTGTGTGTGTGTGTTTCCATCGCTCCTTTGCTCTGCAGCACTGCATTTCAAATAAATAAATAAATAAATAAATCTTTTTAAAAAAATATTCTAATGTGGGAACAGATTTGGGACTCTCAAGGCATAGTAGGTGGATATGACTAGGCCAGAGTCAGTAAACTGGGGGTACATAGACATTGTCATAGAGGTGGTTAGGAACCCTTCCAGGGTGAGTCTTATAGCCCATAATAAACAATTTCATTTCATCCAAGTCATGGGACTGGACAAAATTACCTGAGATGTGACTGCATGAAGAGACCAAGGGGTCAACTGTTTCAAGTAGCATGGAGGAGCCAAGCCATTATTCCTGAAATGTACACTTTCTGATCTATATCGTCCCTAGCTATCTGGAAACCAGTCCTCTGTCCTTAGCACTGAAATCAAAATAAAGCTGAATCTTTCAGAATGGATTTGTCTGAGATGCAAACATCTCAATTTTCTCTGTCTTCCTTCCACTTGCAAATGTCTCCCTTTCTCCCTCCATTGTCATTTAACAGAGGATTTCTAATGACTCAGAACCACAAACCTCTACAGCTTGAGGCAATACCACCTGTGGATTTTTTTTCATCATCCAAGAATAATCAGAAGTGTCTTCTACTTACTTTGATATTAAAAAGAATAATGCATGATGACCAAGTGTGATTCATCTCAAAATGCAGGAAGGGTTTATCTTCCCAAAAGCAAATAATGTTATTCATAATGTTAATAAACAAAAATAAAACTGTATGATCATCTCAGTAGGTGCAGAAAATCTTTGAGCAATCTAAAATCATTCTCAACAAAGTAGGAATCAAAGAGAATGTTCTTAACCTGATAAAGGACGTCTATAAAAATCCTACATAAAAAATAGTGGGAAATGAAAACTTTATCCTACTATTAAGAACAGGACTGAAATTTATACTCTCATCACCTCTAGACAGCATTGTACAGGTGCATCCAGTCAGGTCAGTAAGGCAAGCAAAAGAAATAAATCTACTCAAATTAAAAAGTAGGAAATACAAATGCTTTTATTCATCGATGTGTTTATTTTGTTGTTCATAATATGCTTGTCTATTGTGAAAATCTGATTGAATACACAAAAAAGCTAGTAGAACCAATGAGTGAATTTTGCAAGGTTGCAAGATACTAGACTAAAATTTTAAAAATCTAATTTTACAGTCAGCCCTTGGTGCCTGTGAGTTCCACACCTGCAGATTGAACCAACTTTAGATTGAAAATATTTTTAAGACTTATTTTTATACTAAACATGTACAGGTCCTGTAAGGATAATGTGATTGTCATTAATAATGCCCTTATCATTATCACCTACACAATACAGTATAATTATTTTCATAACAATTATGCCACACTAGGTATAAGTGATTTAGAAATTATTTAAAATATACAGGAAGTGTTGGGGCCCACGCTGTGGTGCAGTGGGTTAAAGCCCTGACCTGAAGCACCAGCATCCCATATGGCCACCAGTTCTAGTCCCGGCTGCTCCTCTTCCAATCCAGCTCTCTGCTGTGGCCTGGGAAAGCAGTGGAAGATGGCCCAAGTCCTTGGGCCCCTGCACCCACATGAGAAGACCTGGAGGAAGCTCCTGGCTCCTGGCTTCGGATTGGTGCAGCTCCGACCATTGCAGGCTTCTGGGGAGTGAACAGCGGATGGAAGACATCTCTTTCTGTCTCTACCTCTCTCTGTAACTCTGTCTTTCAAATAAATAAAATAAATAAATCTTAAAAATAAAATAAAATATACAGGAAATGTGCATAG